GTTTTACTCGCTATCGACTATCTGAGAATAGATGTTAAAATAATACCTTTTTCATCATAATACATTAAAAGAAATCCCACATTGACCTTATAATTGTTCTTAATTCTTTAAATCTCAGTACCTGTGGTTCCTACTGAGGATTTAGTCAAGGAGAACTCCTGTCTGATATTAAACAATAGTGTATTTCCCAGCAGGAAAAAAATGCCTTATTAGTTTTCTATGTTTTTTCCATGGCTGATTAGTCCAACGTACATATGGGGAAGCTGCCTCCCCTGGGATGCCTCAACACAAACGGTCATGAATGAATTAACTAAAATCAAAACCTCCCTTAACCTGTTCAAAGTAATATTTGCAGCAGAGGGGGTTTTATCTCTTGTGTATCACTAAGAGTGACAGCAACTCAACAAAACAGGCGATGGGAATAGACAGCTCTCACTAACATCCAGCTGAAAAACAAAACTGCTGCCAAATCTAGCGTAACAGTTTAGCTCAGTCCTCTAGGTAGGCTTTCAGCAGCCTCTGGCATCACTGCATGCTTTAGGAAAACAAACTATATCCCTCGCAAGCTGTCCCAGCTTCCTTTCTGTAGGGAGCACTAGTGGGACGGCCTCTGCTCCACACTCTCCTTGGGAGCTTGAGCCAGGAAGCAGAGAGCAGCAGTAATGGATATACGTGAAGGCAAAAGACACTCTTGGCCTTTTTTATTTCTCTTCTGAGTCACAGTGCTCCTTTCTGCAGTGAAGCACAAGCAATGCCAGGGAAGCACGTTGCCTCTTGTCTTCTCCCAGCCTTGGCAGCGTTTTGCCTGTTTGGCACCTTGCAAGCAAGGGTGATGTTATCAAAGCTGCTAATTCTGTGCCCCCAGCAACAGAAGATGCAGTGGCCTCTTAACCCTGGACCTCTGATCACAACACGCTTACAGCTGAGGTTGACTAAAGCAGCTTTTCAACACCATGTAGTTCATTAAAAGGATGTCAAGGCTTAAAAGAAAAATCAGTATTATGAGACCTCTACAAGCTCCTACCAAAAAAAACCCAGGTGTTTTAAGGAGTAGATAGGCTCTTGTCTGAGCAGCAAAATTTTGGCTAAAGACACTAAAATAGCCCCAGTTAAATCAGATGTCTTTAGGATGCCACTGCCAAGTCCTTGTAAGTAACAGAAAAGAATTTCACCACTTGGTGCAATGTAACCATGTAAGGGCAACTCTGTCCATCTTGTACAGTACAAGTACAGTTCATTCCCTTTCATGGCTCTAGAAGATCTGAACTATTCCTGTCCCAGGAAAACAAAGAACATTTGACATCACAATACTAGAAAATGCAACTCAAAATTGATTTTTAAAGGGACACATGTCTTCCCTTGTTAGGATTCTGCATAAATTTTTGTAAGACCTCATGTCCTATGCAGTCTCGCTGGTGAAGATGGTGTGAACTTCAGGAAGCCTTTGGCACAGCACTAATCCATTTCCAATTGAACTAGGTTTTAGGATATGGCACCATAACATTTCATAAGCTTATTTGGACAAGAAATTAATGAAAAAGTAATTTGTTTCAATTTTTTAAAATTCTGAAAAATAAACAGCAACAATCAGCATTACAAAGCAAAGAAAGTTTTAAATTACAACATAATTCTTAAATACTTAATCAATACAAAAGTGTAAATTTGGTATAGCTGTATGCTAATAGAGTTTTATTGCTTAAAAAGACATCTGAGAGACCTCAAGTTCATCTTGAACTTTTAAGCTGCCGGTTCACTTCGCCTTATGGAGGAATTCCACTGAAATCCCTAGAGTCCCAGGGGATTAGAAGCAAGTCAACAATATTTAAACTCTTTGGTAAACTAGGCTTTTATCAGCAGTAAACAGTTACTGGTTTAATTTAAAGTTCTACCCTAATGCCAAGGCAGAAGCAGCTAATTTAAGATATGTCAGAAAGAAACATCAAGTCCAATTAAAACTTATCTCCTCTTACTGTGTACAAAGGAAAGTAATGAGGATTGGACATAAGCCAAGCCAAAATCTCTCCAGTTTGGAGACTGTATTTGTCTTTCCAGAAAGTGTTTTCAGAGATTTATCTGCTGGAAAAATGAATTATTTCCAGGAGAATCACAACTAACAGTCCCCGTCCCCCGTCCCGTCCCCCCCTTTTTTTTTTTAATGCATCTTTCATGGTTGACTTAGATGTCAGAAGAAAATAGCTCAAAAATAAAGTGTGGGTTCTTTTTTTTTTTTTTTTTTCCTGCTTGTGGTATTTAAAAGGTATCTCTCTTGCATGCCTTCTGTATTATGAAGTTCAACATGAATTCAACATGAAGCCTTTTCTTGGTCTTTTTAGCTGAATTCCCCCTTACTTGAAATATCCAGGAGTTTATCTTCTAAAAGGTCTATCAGCTTGGAAGAGAACTAGTAAATTCAAGCATTATCAGTGGGAAGACAGAATGTGCAACCAAAGATGTTTTAGTTTATAGCTATGCTAAAAAGGGCTAACAGCCTGTCGATTTTGGTATTCTCTGCTGAAATTGCTCCTGAAACAAAGGTTTAGTTACATACTTCATTATATCTATACAGTGGCTTACACTTGAAATTCTAATTCACTTTATGATTTGAAAAACACCCGATTCAAATTAAAAAACCACATCACGCTGCAGCTACACATTATTATGGCCTGATTTGCTATGCTTACATTCAATAGATATCCCCGGTGTCAAGACAGGATCTTCCAAAGAAATATGCTGCATTGTGACATGTCTGAGAAGTAAGAAAGATACAGATAAGGAGAAAGATACTACACTTGAGTAGTCCAGCCATCCTCCTTCTTAGTTCAGAGGCGATAGCATCCCTATTCCAGGCTCTCCTGAGAGAAGCCTGAGGCTCAAGTTTCCCACACCCACATGCATCCACAGTAACTTGCAAAGAAGTCAGAAATAAGCCACATGGTAACCAGCTCTACATGGAGACAGCTTACAGCATAAACAGGAAAGCATCACCAAAACAGTTTCTATCACTTGAGAAAACTTTGAGAGGGGGCATATGCAGAGATTTGAGTAAAGACAACTGCAAAGATTGTCCTAGAGATGATCACACAGGAGCGAACACGGTGTACTCTGGATATAACCTCTCTCAGTAATCCTTGAGAACATGCTGATCAGAACGCATGATTTGAAGGACAGCCTGCGTATAGTTGGAGATGTTATGAAACTGGTAAAACGTGGCCGACAATGGAAGTTTTCAATACTAGTCACATCACGCTGGCATATTTTAAAACTACCAAAAACATAGATGACATTCTATTTAAGTGATAAGCACCAACTGACAAATAAACCTGCTGTGTGCAAACAAAATCTACCAACACAAAAGCAGCACCTGGAAGAAAGGATATAGCCTTTTCTTGTACCCCTCCTGCAACAAAAATCTGAGGGATGTTATACCACTAGAAAAGACACCATGCTTTTAAGTCCTTGTGGAATTATAGCCAAAGTAAATCAGAAATCTCTTTTCCCCATAGAGGTGCCAATAATTTTAACTGGGCACTTTAAGACACAGAAGTATGAAGCGTCTGCTCTTCTCTGAACACCTATTCTTTCCCCTTTCTCATACCCGTACCTTAGTGCCAGCAGCTGCTTCTAGCTTAGCACTTCCTGCAATTCCGTTTCTCAATTTCTGCCCAGTATAGGAAAATAAGGATTGTGGAAAGCTTTTGCAATTTTATACAGTGCTTAACGCTGTTATGACGTAACAAAGTCGTAATACTGCCGAAAGCACTGTGGCCCAGTAGAATGACACGCAAGATCCCAAAGGTTCATTAGTAACAGCTATAGCACCTTGAGCATAGCACTTTCCAAATGCAATACGAAAGCTGAATGTGAAGAGCTGATCAAAGAAAGAAAAGAAAAAAAAAAGCCATAAAACAATAATTTCTGGCATGTTTTGGCACACAGAGCGGGAGCAAGTTCAGAGGTGTCAGAACACAGTACTGCAAGGTCAGGACGACTGTAGATCCAGTATCTGAAGTTAATGCCCAACAGTAACTCAGCAAAGCTTCTGGTTTGAGCATCAGTGTGGTCTGAGCCAACAAATAGTATTTTTCTTTCACAATAACAGCTTCAGAAGCTTTACATTATCAGAAAACCAACTGGTTCAAATTAAAACTAAACACCCGAAGTACAACAGGTAAAACCTTGAAGCAACTCTTTGACTACGTTATAAAAACTTGTGTGTTAACGTCAGAAGCGTGAAGTGATGGCAATCAGCCAGAGACAGGGAACTGACAGATAAGAGAGGCAATGTCAGCAGATGTAGTATCATTCAAACTGCTTGCATCCTCCCTCGATTCCGCCTGTAAGATAGCTAAAAAAATAACACATCAGCAGGCAGAAAGTCTACCTAGCCCTTAAAGGGCTATTAAGTAATTTATTAAAATATTGCCAAATCTCCTTAATTTCCCTGCTTTTCAGCATCAAGGTCTTAAGTAAGAGTAAAAAGGTAAAACTTTTAAAAAAGTCTCTCTCACATGGCAATCAATCTGCTAGCATGCCAGGAAGTATTTCTGATAAGACAGTTTTTCATGAATTCCAGTTTTAATAATTCACTTAAAGAATGCGTGTCAATGGCACACTCAAGCATTGTGAGCCTCTATCAGCGCAAAACCCACTAAACTTTGATATCGTAACCAAAAGAATCCCCTTAGTTTTTCCAGTGAAAAAGCAGTGAGCTGAATTAGGCTGCTACATTGCAAAATGTTCCATTACAGATCAAAAAAGGAGTTGAGCTACAATTGCAAAACTTACTAAATCTGGAAAAGAAAGACGATAGTGAACCGAACGAAGAGTGAAGTGGAAATTCCTGATTTTCAACTCTGGCACTGCTTTACAAGCAGATTTGTTTTAAGAATTCACAATCAGAATCTGTATATCTTTTGAAGACGCATATTTCTAAGTCTTTTAAGACTAGCTATAATAAATCCACCAATGTTTATGACTTGAACAAAAGACACAGCACAATATAGGTTCGAACTGTTTATTTTACATCAGATGTTCCATACCAGAGTTTCTTCAGTTAGAAGTTCCTAGAAGAAAATGAAACAAACATTGTTACAAACCAGTTTGCTTCAACAGTTCGAGTAAATATTTTTGACTAACTGTGTAATCATCCTATAAACACAGTGTATACATTTTCATCCTAAAAGTTGGATTTGGGTTATAGAAGTTACCCCTGCAAGAGTTAGAGGATAAGATAAACATACGTACTTGGAAACAATTCCATCATTTTTTGCCAGACGCAGAATGGAGTCATCTGATTCACCCTTTAAAAGAATAAAAGATGATTCTGAAGTGACCAAATAATTGCTGATACACATTAAAAAGAGAGGCAGCTGCAGCATTTAATGCTGGTAATGAAATGCACACCACTTTCCACATATCACTACATTTTATATGCACAGATTAGTGTTTTCAAAACAAGCTGTTAAATTATTTGTCATCCTTTAGAATAAGAAATAGTTTTAGCTTGATAAAATATACACTTGCATTAACAAGATATATTTCTGGGTAAGCAGACTTCTGATGAACTCTAGGAACCTTCACACCATGTTTAACAAATTTAAGTCATGGTAGTATCATATTTAATAATCATAAACAGATAAAAGCCAGGTATTAGTAGCTTGGCACATTCTTAAAAGAAAAAAAAATCCACTTGCATCCTTCAGTGATTAAAAAAAAAATTACCCCCCCCCCAATACGTAATTCTACAAACCAAAGGATTGAGGAAAAAAACAGAAGAAACTGATTATTGCAAGTGAATTTGTTCATGTCTTCACTGTGTCTTCATTATCCCCACAAAAGCTCTCCCTCTAGAATGAGCTGAAGGCACATTCCATTTTCAGGGCAAAATATAAATATATAACATTACTAATCAATATAAAAAGAAGCACAATCATTTTGTAGATCAAGAAAATACTTACCATTCTACGAATTGCTCCACAAATGGCATACGTTTTGAACTGGCCATTTACTCTGCCTGTTACCTTGTCAACCTGTAATTACAAGTAAGTTATTCCATAGATATTCTTACAAAATTTTATGCTCTTACATCACACTTGCCTAGCACTCAAAAGATAGAAATTGCTTGTTAAATTTTGCAAATATTTTTTGGCAAACTACAAAAACCCAAGGCAAATACTGAAGTCAGAAAGACAACTATAGAATCTCTTTTCAGAGCAAATTTACAGTTAATTACATAATGCAGCTATAAAATTTAATGGATCACACAGCATAACAAGAACACAATACAAAATGGTAGCTAAAAGAAGAAAATGCTAGAGTTCTAAAAAAATGGAAAAGTTCAATGTAAAGTTTACTTGGGAATTTTACTGCCTTTGTTATTTTTTCATGTTTCTTTTAATTAAGGCCAGTATTATGGAAAATTGAAGTGAAGGGGGGAAGGGGACAGTCTTGTTGCACAGGTAGAAAAATGCCCCAGTTGAGACACACAAATTGTCTCACTTTCTCCATCTGCTGAGAAATTTAACAGGAAAAAAGACTGAACAATATAAATCATGAAACTAAACAGTGTAGTGAACCCCGTAATACCATGTGAGTTTGTTTTTGAGTTCTGCTAATCTCTGATACTTTGAAAGCAAGAAGTAGGGATCACTGAAGGAATGAAACGCAGAGAACAAGAAAAGTATTTGCCTTAACATTTACAGGAAATGGCGAACAGAGCATTTTTAAAAACGATTTCTTAAGTCAGACAGATAACACAAGAGACTCAGTTGTTTAAAAATATAGGAATGTAGTCTTGTGGTCTCCCATTCAAGAATAAATCAAGCTATATAGCTCATAAGCTATAGGAACATTGTGTCCACAGAATTCCTGCAAGGTGAGTACCAATAAACAAACGGGAAAAAACCCCATGCTAAAAGGAGTTTAAATTAACTGGAGCCCACATGCATTAACTGGGTTCCTGCAGGAGTCAAGGTCTACTGTGGTTTTCTCAGCATGTATGTTAAGCTTGGAGGGATTTGCAATAATGCTACCTTGAGAAGATGAAATTAAACTTAGACAAGAACAAATTCCTTATGTTACGGAAAGAAAACTAAAGGTACAATACCAAGTCAATACAAATAACCAGCATGCCTCAGGAAAAATTCTAAGCATATAATACCCCCAACACGAGCAATCTCATTTGTCACCTATCAAGAGCAGCAATATCAAGTATTAACAGAAATGATTCAAGCAGAACACGGAAGATGGCATTTTAGTTAAGCAAAGTAGAACAGAAAGAGAGTTCTGCTCTGGAAACTGTATCTTTCTTAAAGTTTGGACAAACTAGAAAAAGCACAGAGAAGATCAACAGGAATAAAAAGTTAAAAACCAGGGTGCACAAGGACAGACTGAAGAATGGCACTTTCTTACGGACAGGTGAAGGTAGAAGGGGTAAGAATCTCCCCAAAACAAGCATTTCCTCTCCTTCTTTCCTTCAGGACAAGGAATTCCCTGATTTATAACTCTAAATATCTAGAGTTAGGAAGCTGTGTTTAGTCAAACAGTTAAGCACTGGAACAGACTGTACAGAGCTTTGTGAAATCCCCTCTAATGAATATTTTCCAATAGGCTGAAAAATAACCAGGGGTGACATAGTAATATGCTTGTATGTTTGAAAGCCCTCAAGCTCTACACTTACATGGTCTCTAGTGAATTATTTGGAGACGCATCACAAGCTGTTATATTCCTTAACTTCTATCGAAATGTAAAGGTGTAGCTCTCTTGTCACATACTTCTGTTAGGAAACTTACCTCAGAAATATTTATCTGAATAGAAGCATGATCCTTAGCACCAATTATTCGGTTGCTAGCAGAGCTAAGGAATAAAATAACAAGATATGTTTAAACAAAAGGAAACAGACAGTGACAATGAAAAAAACCTATTAAAGCCAAATCTACATGCAAATTAAAGCTGCGCAAGAAGTTTAGGCAATAACAGTTTCTCAGAAAATTAAAATGTAGTTTTAAGTACATTTAAAGGAGACTTTCACTTGGTAGCATCATGCTAAGTTGCCAACTATCCCTTCACTTTGGTTTTTGTATGCCCAGTTCACCCCTGTACAGTGCACGCAGCAGCACAGGCCTTCAAAACACACAGTATCAAGTTTTTCTTTTCTAAAGTGCAAAAAATACAGCAATCAAGGTAATTCATGAGAACGCGGCTTCTATGCCTTTTTCATTGGGAGCCGTTACAGCTCTCAAAACGCATTGAGGTTGCCAACCCTCAGAGATCACAGGTTGTAAAAAACATTTGACTTAAACCTAGTAAAATGCATACAAACAGTTTATTTTTTAGTGATTTTTTTTTTTTGTTAATACACACATTTACAAAAAGCTTCTCACTGTCCATTTACGATAACCTCAAAATCGTTCTTGAGATGCGCTATCCAGGCAACACGCGTTTCCTTAACAGGTTCACTACGAGAGCTCGTAGCGCAGAGCACCGGCATGCTGCAGACACCCGTTTGCTTCCGAAATGAACGGCACGCGGGCTGTCACTGCCGCTGTAAGGCTGGCAGTCACGCCACAGGAGATGCACAGTATTCCCTTCAACTTTAGTCTTTGCTTCACATATTTTACATAAGATATTTACAAAAACAGGAAAAAAAAGGATTTTGTTTTTTTTTCCTCCACAGATATTCGCTACTACAAAAAAAACTGCTTTTGCGCAGACGGTACCGGCCTCTGGCCCGGGATCG